CATGATTATTGTTAATATTTCTATATTTTTAAAATTTCTATTATTATAAACTAAATTCACTGCTGTGAAGTCAGAATTGCCTCATAGCTGACCATCTAGTAGGCTTTGAGGCTGTAAATCACACAAAAGGAGACCGCCCATCTTCCTCCCTCAGAGGAATCCTAGTGGATTTAAACGGTCCCCTTTGGGTGGAAAGCCCAACCCCTACCCAGGAGGCCACTGGCTACTACTATAGTCATTAGACATGACGAACAACTCTAAATGCACCAATAGCTTTTTTGTTTGTTTGTTATGTGCCACCAAGTCGCTTGCAACTCACAGCGACCCTATGTACAAGAGCTCTAAACGCCGTTCTATCCTGTGCCAACCTAAGCATCTCAAATGCACTCATTCCCACCACTCCAGTCACAGAATCAATCCATCTCATCGAGGGCCTTCCTCTCCTGTGCCGCCCATCCACTCTGCCAAACATGACGTCCCTCTCCAAGGACCAGTCCCTCCTTGCAACATACCCAAAGTATGTCAGATGAAGCTTCAGAATCCTTGACTCCAAGGAGCATTCCATTCTGAAGCACAGTACCTCATCTTTATCCCTCTGAGCAGCTGTTCAAACTGTGAATCTTTTGGTCAGCAGCCAAGCACTTTAACCACTACATCACTTGTTGTTGTTATGTGTCATCGAGTAGCTTGCAACTCATAGCAACCCTATGTACAAGAGCCCTAAATGCCGTTCTATCGTGTGCCAACCTCGCTATCTCAAATGCATTCATTCCCACCACTCCAGTCACAGAATCGATCCATCTCATCCAGGGCCTTCCTCTCCTGCGCCGTCCCTCCACTCTCCCAAACATGACGTCCCTATCCAAGGACCAGTCCCTCCTTGCAACATGCCCAAAGTATGTCAGATGAGGCTTCAGAATCCTTGATTCCAGGGAACATTCTGGCTTCACCCTCTCCAGGACAAACCTGTTTGTTCTCCCAGCAGTCCATGGTATATTCAACACTTTTCTCCAGCACCAAAGCTCAAAGGCATCAATTCTCTTTCTATCAATCCCTATTTACTGTCCAATTCTCTGATGCATAGCAAATAATTGCAAAGACTATAGCCCGGATCAGGTGCACCTTAGTCTCCAGCCTGACGTTGTTGCTCTTCAATACTCTTGAGAGGTCCCTCACAGCTTACTTTCCCAATGCAATTCATCTCTTGATTTCCTGGCTGCTGTTACCAAGAGTGTTGACTGTGGAGCCACGTAAACTAAAACTGTTAACCATCTCTTCACTATCCATACTGATGCTGCCAATTGGCCCAGTGGTGAGAATCTTTGTTTTCTTGATTCTGAGCTTCAATCCATATAGGAGGCCGCAATACTTGACCTTCTGCAGCAAGTGCTTCAGGTCCTCCTCAGTTTCAGCAAGCAGGGTTGTGTCATCTGCATAATGCAGATTGTTGCTGAGTCTTCCATCAATCCTGATGCTACATTCCTCCTGGTACAGCCCAGCATCTAGGATGATCTGTTCTGCATACAGACTGAAAAGGTATGGAGACAAAATACATCCCTGACGGACCCCTTTCTTGATTTTGAACCATG